CAGCCTTTTAGTGAGAACGACTTACTGGTTTAAATACATTTCCCTCGTGACTGATCGTATTCTCTTCCTCTCTAGTGTAGATGTTTCGGGCACAACAGTCAGACAAGCACACGGTCATAGCACTTACCAAGAAAACTATCGAGTTATCGCATCCTTATAGTTTTCAACGTATTTGGTTTATTGAAGTGAAGAATGCATTAAATTTTTTATGAAAAAGGTATCTCACTATCGGCCTCCCTTTCCCATGCACTCAGTCGCACGCTTGAGCAACCTCGTCGTTTAGTTGATTTGCCTCTTGGTAACGCTAAGCTTCTAAATGACGCGACATTTGCAGCGTTTTGGAACACGGGTACGTTTACTAAACAGCAGCAAGCTTGGTAGACTTCACCATTCCACAAGTAGTTTTTAATTACAGTTTAATCCCCTCTTGCGATGTAAAGCCGAGACAAGTAAAATGTTATGTCTGGAGGTCGTCGTCGGTAATAGCCAGCCTTGGGAAAGAGACGAGTCAGCAAGTACTTAAAACCCGTGCCCCAATTAGCCGGTGGACTTATCTCACGACCGCCAACTGAACTGGTGCATGCACCTGAGGACTTGCCATGTTGTTCCGATTAGTGGAAACTATCTGTCCATGTCGTATGCTCTGTGCCTGTCTTTTAGAAGCTCTGATGTATAAGCCTCAGCTTCGGACGTGTAACCACGTTTAGAAGCACTGGGCCTCAAATGTTCTCTGATTTCCTTCTCGCCATCCCTCTGACTGTGTTAATTTCTCCAATTGAAGTGTACCCCCTCTTCCCCGGGTTGCCCTTTGTATCCTGAAGTCGACTTCGGTAGGCACTTTCCAAAAGGCAATCTTAATCGTACAGCTTGAGTGGCCTTGTTGTGGATACATTACTTCTCAGTGCTCCCACTCAAAAGCCCCCTCCTTTCGTCAGCATTTTTTCCTGAAACCAATTCATTTTGAGAAGATCATTCAAGACTACTTCCAATTAAAACTGTCCATTCAATTGTCTACCGTTCCGTTATTTTTCAAACTCTTGTGGAGGCTCTGTGTGCTGATGCCAGCGTTCAAGTACCGTTGCAGCCTTTTTTCATCCCCTTCACTCTAATTTCTCCTTATTTTGCCTTCAGCATCGAATTGAACGACAGTGGATGATAAAGTTGTGTGCAGAGACCGTCAACGATACTTCGGATTATCTGCTTCTGGAAAAGTCCCGTGTCTTCAAGTATTGTCTGACTATGTACTCTGATCCGAGTATTGATTCAGCTGCTCAGGTTCGCCCATTTTTTCCCGAGCATGACCCCGAACTGTGTGCTTTTTATTGATGCAAACATCAAAGAAACGCTAAGTGATTTTGGCATTGTCTAACTGAAATCGGGAAGCGAGCTGGCTGACTATAACCTAGGTATGGACATCGTCGTACCAACATCGGACTAAAAGGACCTACAGACGCTATTGCTTCACAAAAAGTGGTTGCTAACTCAGCTGGTTTGTCGGTGAAAACTACAAAACCGAACGTATCACTGAGGTCCGATTAAAGGCATGATTTAGTTCACGTGATTAACGGCTGTCAGTTTGAATAATTATGTTTTAAATATCGCAAGACTAATGAGCGGACTGGGTACGGCACCTTCGCTTAAATCAGTACTTCTCACATTGTTTATACTTCTTCGACTCTCTCTATTACTTAGTGATAATGTTTATATCCGTGTGTACCTAGCATCCACTTGGCAGTTCCTCTATAACCACTAATGCTGAGTTTTATATGCAGAATAGGAGACGAACCGATGGTTTGTTTTATTTGTTGCTTAAGGACGATTCAGTAAATAGATTTCCTTGAAATTAAGATGCTCCGCACTCATCGTAACAGCATGGCGAAGATTTCTCAGTCCATCCAAAAGAACCATCTTCAGTAGGTATTGACCTGTCGTCCGTTGCTAAAGCCATGAGTTACAACCGGCTGCTTCATTAGAATCGATGAAGCTCTCAGTTCGAAACATGGCTTGGTAAACTTTGTCAAGATGTTGAGGCGGTTCATTGACAATCAGTGCTCCGACTACACCTCTCCAGAGGAAATTATTTCGAGGTCACCCGATATGCTGTGATAAATTGCCCCTTTTTGAGCCGTTTCTTGTAGGATATCGTTTGGGCCGATTATGTTAAGCATAATAACAGCCGTGTTAAGTGGGAAAAAAACTAGTAAATGCGATGTGAAAATTTTGCCAAACAGAAGCTCCTAGTCGGCCCTCTTCCCGAAGGTTCAGATGTCCATTCTTAATGGATTGTCCGTGTACTTTGTTATTATCTTATCGGGTCACTATCACCTTATTGGATAAAGCGCCCTCGCATGAAATTAAGCTATCCCTGACAAATGAGTATGGATAGTTTGAAAACAGTCACGATTTTCACTGATCAACGTTTCTAGTCAGAAAACTACTTTAGTTTTCTGATCGTTTGTCATTTTCTCTATTTTTTAAGTTCCTTTAGTATCTTAAAATTTCTGAATGATCAAGTCATATTATTGTGGTGGTAGACCAAACATTTCCTTGGGGGGCCTTATTCCATAGGAAAGACTGCTTTTTTACATCTTCCACGTGGCGTCCCTTAGAAATCACCTTCCCGATAAGAATATATTTTAGTTTTTTTTTATTCTTCATTTTGGATACTTTGGGACTTTGTTTCAATAAAAAAGAACATCCTTTTCTCTGACTCATTCCTCTGTCTATTTAGATTCAAATTCTGCGCCTTCTGGTAGCTACTACAAAAATACCCCGCGCTTGTCACGCTCTGACGCGGTTTCACGCCTTTCCCTTATGGCTTTTCCGACACGCCCTGGGATCCAAGTAATGCCACCTCAGCTTCTATCGCCCGTGCTCTTAATTTTCTCCTTTTATTGCCAACTCTGACCTCATCCGGTTTTCCCCCCTCCCTTAAGGTCCACTCCATCCCTCTCCTACTTCTTCCAAATTATCAAACAGATGTTGACCGCTTTCGAGGATGCCAAGGAGGAGTCGCCTGCTTTGCCGATTTTGAAGCTCCTGGATTCTACATTCAGGTTTGTTCATAATTGGAAATGACGGCTAGTGGGACTTAGTTTGAGCTCTGTTCAGTGAAAGGAACTCAATAATATATAAATGTTGGGACTGTGCCGACCCCCTTGTAGCTTTCGGAATAACGCAGAGCATCCAGATCAAAGGTAAGAATGCAGTTCACAATCTCGCTCGCAATGAACTGTTTAGCTATCAAAGAAGGAGACTGATTAAGCGCCGGAACAATTTGTATTTTCTCAATTTCTGAGTTCATGCAGAACTCTATCGTCAGAAGTGACAGCAGCAAATGCCTCTGAAAAATGTGTCTTTGATTATAGAAGCAACTGATTATACCATTTAACCAACATTCATGTTTTACTCCCTGTTAAATCAAACGTACCCCCCCCCTCTCTGCCTGTGAGTCTCAAAATGACTCAAGAGCCCTTTTATCTTTTAAGTCATATTAACTATGAAACGGTCTAAGAGGGCTTCAAAATGTTTGAAAGTGCAACTTTAAGGGACCTCTCCCTAAAGCCGCTTTTCTTTCACAGGAAACTACACGAGGAGACGACGTTCGCGGAAAAGGAAGCACCACCGATGGACGTTTGATAGCCTTCGACTCCCGATTCCCTGTTGTGTATAAGCCTGCTCTGTACATCAATAAATTTGATGTCCTGAATGCCTTGCCTATGGTGCTCGTTTTTTTATCTCGCAACTGGGCTACATCGGCAAAGGCCACTGAATACTACTGACTCGGTGGACAGATGTATCGCTAGCTCATAATTGGCGACCGACTGACCGGGATTCAGCTGGCTGGTGATAGGAAATAGGCCGGTGACTTGTGCATGAATTATCTCATAGTGTTAGGAGACTTAGGCAGTATCTACCTTGTTC